TACCTATTAACGACCTACTTCGTTTGCTCAGCTCCAGATCTTGTGAAAAATTCTAGCTGGAAACACTGCTACCAGTATAGTAATCCACACTTCTCCCATCACAAACTGCCAACACTGCAAAGTATGGGTAATGCACTCGCTACTCATTCTCATTAACAGTCGGAAATGGGATCGCACCTCTCCCAACCACCAGTACCACACACAAGCACCCGAGGTCTATCTGTATCCTACCTTGCTACACTCTTCACCCTCCTTGCACCACCTGTCAGCCTTGTGGTGTAACTCCAGTGATGTTCATATAAAACTAGTGTGCACATACATTGTACGCAACCCAAACGCCAAACATATACCACTCTGGGAGTTCTCAGAATCCATAGCGCTACGCATTTTCAACACGCTGACATGCAACCCAATGTTGCCATCCTATTGAGCCCGTCTTCTCGTATTTTTGCAGACAACGCCACAATACCGTCAACCCTCCCACATCATCTCGTCTCGATAGAATGTTCATCTTCCGGTCTTTCCTCCCCCACCTTGTTGCCAGCCCATATCTCCAAACTTGCACGGCAACTACAAATCATCGCTGTGCCCCTCTCAGCTTGCAACAACCCTGCCATCGCTCCTCGTCCCTGGCGACTCCGTCAACATCTACTCATGCGACCCCGTGCTGCACAAATCATAGACGCCGTTCTTGCAGCCTTCCCCATCTCCCCTTCCCCGGACACATAGGACCAATGGAAACTTGACCTCGCTCTAAGCCTTAAGAGCTTCTCTAACCTGGAAAGGCACCGCGTCGACGACTCTACAGCATATCTTGAACGCATCATTGGCTCTTTACAGCTGCAAGTGGCGGCCGCACCTCTCGACCAGGTCTCGTCTTCCCGCCTAAACAAAGCACGCCACCACCTTGCCAGATACGAAGCCTCAAAAGCCTCCAAAATTGCTCTCAAAGCCAAGCAACAGGTGGCAGCAAAGTCACTGATAGTGGCAACAAGAGCTGAGAAAGACGACGGAGAGGCAGTAGTGTCAGTGATAAGAGAGGCGTGAACACGTGAGACAACAAGACGAGCAATGTGCTAGTAGTCAATAACAATGTGAGAGGATGCAGGAGGTGACAGGAGGACAGGCTCAGGCGGAGAACGAGGGACTAGCACCGAATAAGATCGAACGGAGGTCCCTAAGAGGAGACGAGGCATAAGCAACTGGGGAACAACGGGTGGTCCAAGTGTGCGGGACAACAGTAGGAGGCGGCTGTGACCGAGAAGGAGAGGAAACAGCCGGGGATAAGTCCGGAGGCAGTGAGCGGTCCGGAGGAGAGGAAGGGAGACGGAAGGGCTCAAAGGCCACTCACACGTGGGAAAAAATGCTACAATATTGGTTAATGTGGTGTCTGCGGTTGCTGCTGCTGCTGCCACTGCAACTGCTCCTCTTGCTCTAGCTGCTCATACGATAACCGCTCCTGCTTCTCTTGCTCCAACAGCTCCTGTGCCAACCGTTCCTACTCCTCTCGCTCCAGCTGCAGAAGACACTGGTGATGTGTCATGTAATGGATGGCAGGCGGAGCAGCACCCAGCGCCATTACCTGTAGCTCCAGCACCCCCAGAACCAGCATCTCCATCGCCATTACCTCTAGCTCCAACACCCCCATAACCAGCACCTCCAGTGCCAGTACCTCTAGCTCCAACACCCCCAGAATCAGCACCTCCAGTGCCAGTAGATTCAGCTCCAGTACCTCTAGTTCTAGCACCCCAAGAACTAGCACATCCAGTGCCAGTACCTCCAACACCAACCCCCAGAGTACTGCAACTGGTTGTGGTAGTGCCGAAGGCTGCTGCTGTGATAGTTAGGACGACTGTGGGGAAAGAGACGACACCTTACGTGCTACCAAAGGGAGAGGGGTAGCGTGAGACACACATGACGGGGCATGACCTGGGTGGGGTGGGTGTATCGGAGGAGCCGTAGCAACAGGAGTGGGGTCAAGGAAGAGAGGGGGGGGGGGGGGAGGAGGACCGGGAGACCTCGGCGTACACGGACTCGACAAACGTGACGTCACCGGAGCCAAATAACTGGTGGAGGGGCTGGTGGTAAAAATGAATTAGATTCAGGGGCGGCGACCAGGAAACCAAGGAAGACACTGAAGATGGTGTGATCCGAGTGCTTGTCTTGTAGGGGTATCGTGGACACACGCAAGGCAGCCCCAAACATGAAAGTCCGACGCATTACCAGGATACCCAGTCCAAAGATAGGTCGGTGAAACCTCCGGGCAAGAGACACGCGGCCAGAGGTTCAGCTGGTGGGCGGCGTATCGAACCGTGTAGGGCCACCAAAAATCTTAATGAAGGTGAAGGTGCAGGCGATCGCCATGACCAAGCCTATGCAGCACTCAGCAACCCCATTCTGCAACAGCAAGCCGGGAAGTGTCCAGGACTGGGTGATGCCCTGCTCGCTACAGAACTCGGCAAGCACGCTGGAGCAAAACTCACCCCCACTATCAGAGTGGAGATAAAGGACACAACTATCATGCTAGGCACTAGTGCCCAACAACTACGGGATCAGGGTAAAATTCACGTCGCACTTCTGCCGCAGGGGGAACACGGTGGTGTAGTAGGAGAAATCCTCAACCACCACCAGGAAGGAACGCTCACCCCCCCGGCCGAGTAACTGGGGCGGGGCTATAGACATCCAAGTGGAGAGTTTGGACAGGCTCGGAGGCCGGTCAAAGGGAGGAGGAGTGAAAGGTGGCGCGCAAACTACCCTCGACGCAAGGAGTGCACGGCAATGCAGACGAAGGAGGGAGGGACCAAAACGAGGGCGGAAGACCTGAGACAAGACGGGGGCTTGATATGAGACAGGCATGGGAGGGACGGGTGACCAAGACGGTGGTGCCATAGGACTGCGAGCGCCCGGAGCATGACGCAGCAACCTGACTTGACGCAGCTACATGGGGTGCCGCAGTATGCATTGTGAAGAGACATGAGCGGGGCTCCGTGGAGAAGGTGGCAAGGCGAGATCTAGTAGTAGCGTTCGTACAGGTCGCAAACCGCTCGTGTGCAGGGAAAGTGAATGTGACCCCACAGACCTGAAAGTGTCCAGCACCCACCAAGTTCCTAAAGAACGAGGGGATGTGGATACCAGTAAGGGAACCAGAGGGGACAGCAGGGCACGGGAGGGTGGTAAAACTGCAAGCGACGGTTGGTCCTGAAGTAGGATCAGCCTGGGCAACCGAGACTAGAGCAGGAAGAGGTGTGACAGCAGTGTGGTCGCCGAAGAAGCATTGGGACGCGCCAGATTCCAACGTGAAGGAGAGCAAGGTGTCAGCTATGCGTACATCTGGGCTAGTAGCTACATAAGCACGTAGAATAGAAACGCAAGCACCTGCACTAGCAACAAGCAGGGATCCTAGGTTAGGAGCATGAGAGAAAATAGATTCAGGAACACTATGGTCAACATCAGCATACATGCAAAAAGTGTGAGCATCATCCATGCTCAAATAAAAAAACATTAATGTTACAGGAAAGCAGCGCCGCCCAGCATGGTTGTGTCGCTAAAAGTTGTCAAGGAGTCGGAAGCAGCGCGCTGGAGAGTGGTCAGAGCGCCCGCAGAAAGCGGGACTACTCGGCTGGACCCGTTTGGATCCAGTATTGGCAGGGGCCAACGTCGCCGTCAGTGGGACGAGTCCACCAGCTGGCGGGGCTGCTGCTGCGGCCAGCACTCCCAGGACCACCAGTTCCCCACTACTGCAGAGGACTCCACTGCTGGAAATGCTACTGCACCTACCGCTGCACCTCCTGCATCGTCTGTCCTTACTGCTGATGTCCCTGCTGTGGCTGCTACTGCTGGGATTGCTGCTGCTGCTGTGCTCCCTTCCCACCACCAGGGCCAGCACCTCCTCCTATCAGGCTCGTAGGCCCAGTACCACCTCCAGTGCCGCCTCCTCCGGCGCACTAGGACCGTCACCACCTTCGCCACCCCCACCTCCACCATGGCCGCCATCACTGCCGCCATCACCACCACCACCACCCTTCCCCCTTCTCTTGCCTCCCTTGCCTTGTTTCTGCCCACCAGCAGCAGAAAAAGCTGCAGTCTCCTCAGGAACAGACAACGCAGAAGTGGCAAGAGAAGCAATGAAGGTGGGAAGCTAGGGCACACTACACCCCTCAAAGAGACGGGAAACTACCGCGGTAGTAGCTGAGGCAACGAGAGGAGGTTACTTTGGATCTTCGTGAGAGTGCTCTCAAGAAGCTCGATTGTAGGCTCACTAGTGTGCTTTTGAAGAAGCACGTCGCGGGCAGAGGAGAGGCGGCTAGAGAGGCGAGTGACTAGCCAGTAAAGGCTGAGCCACATGGGCAGGGGGGGGGGGGAGGACAAGCTGGGCGTCGGTGCAAGCTGCACGGTAGCTAGCGTCGAGGGAACGCAGGTGAGAGACAAGGTCGGAGATAGTCTTAAATGACACAAGGTCAATGAACACAAACGGCATGAGGAGGCGGCTGAGGGAGGAAGAGGAAGGGGTGGAATACCGAGCAACAATAGTGTCATACCACCGCTTCATAGATCCCAACTGGGAGAAGTGGGAGGCCTCAGTCGGTAGGAAAAGGTACACTAATGCGAGGTAGGCAATGGCGTCGCGAAAGTCCCAGAGGTTATGCCCGCCAAGAACAGCTTGGTGTACGTCGCCTGCGCGTTGGCATGCTAAAGTCTATCGCACGACCCTCTACGTTGAAAAACTTGAGAGGATGCTAAAGTCTATCGCACGACCCTCTACCCTAGGAGCAACTGGAGCTAGGAGTGGCTGGAGGGCTGAGTGAATAGAGCTTGGACAGCCAGGCTAGGAATGACCAGAGTGAGGAGTAACTGGAGCCAGGAACGCCAGGCTAGGAGCTGTCGGGGCAAGGAGCGAGCGAAGCTAGGAATGCTATGCTAGGAACGGCCAGAGTGAGGAGCGAGCAAAGCTAGGAATGCTTGGTTAGGAGTCACTGCGGCCTAGGAGCGTGTCAGAAGCCTTAATCAGAGCCAACGAACGGTGTTGCGGCTTCCAGCCGTGAGGGAAGGCCGCCAGTGAGAGAAGGCTGTACAGTAGCCGGCACGGGTAGGGAGGTGGCTGCTGTTGTACGCGTGTGCGTGCTGCGGGGTGTGCGTGAGTGGCGGCCGCTATGTACGAGTGGGCAGGGTGCACGGCAATTCCTGAGTGCGCGCACCAGAGCTGCAGTTGTAGCGGGCAGGGAAGCGCGTGGGGCAGTGCCCGCGGCAGTGGAGGGCAGCGGCAGCCTAAGGAAGGGCGCTGGGCAATGCGCAGTAGCACAGTGCAGCGTGGGGAAGGGCGCAGCGCGTGGCAGTGTGGGGCAGTGCGCAGCAGTGCGAGGCAGCGTGCGGGGGAGCACATGGCAGTGCGGGGCAATGCGCAAGGCAGCGCGCGGCAATGGGGGGCTATGCGCGGCAATGTGGGGCTATGCGCGGCGCAGGGCACAACTGTGCGGGGCAGCGCAGGGCAGTGCGGGGCAGTGCGCAGGATAGCATGCGGTAGCGTGGGGATGCGTGTGGCTGTTGCTTTGGCCCGTTAGGGGGACGGAGGAGCGCTAGGAGGCCAGGAGTGTCAAACTATGTTTGTAGAAATAGATATGCTGCTTGAGTTGCATATTAGGGGGTATAAAACATTCTCGGCACTTTGCTTGTATCCCCCCCTTGACCTAGTTCCGATCATTCCCTCATACCTAAGATAGCTAATAAGTTACTTAGATTCTGATATGGTATCAGAGCGAGGTTGCTCCTAGGTCCTAGCCTCGTGTCGCCCAGTTACGTTCCGTGTCACCCTAAATCATTTGGTTCCATGCTGCCCCGCGCTGCCCGCGCTGCCTTACTTTGCCGGTGCTGCCCTGACTGTAGGACCCGCGCGCACGCGCACAACAGCACGCACACGCGGCAGAGCTCCGTGCGCGTGTTCACCAGCAAGCGCACGCACGGCAGCAGCCTCGCACGCACGTACGGCCCCGCGCGCACGCACTTACAGTGCCGCGCGCACAGCAGCTGCCGCCGCGCACCGCTGTGCATGCTACCCGCGCTCTGTTCCGTCCCTTACTGCGCCCTACCCTGCCGCCACGCACGCTGCGGCCGCCGTCGCGAGCGCGCCAGCTGTAGCCGCCATAAACGCAACGGTCGCCAATGCACGCCACTGCAGCCCCTACCCGCGCCCTGCCCCATCACGTCCTACGCCTTGCCCTGCCGCCCTCACGCATGCCGCCACGCATGAGCAGACGCACGCAGCAGCAACTGTAAGTGCACCCTCAACTGATTCCACACTAGACGCTGCGACCAGCAGCAGCAACTACTCGTGCCTCTGCCCCGCACTGCTGCCCATGCTCTGTGACAGCCCACCAGTTCCCCACGCCACTAGACAATTCCTAATTGCTACTGACCACTCTCCGTTGCGCTAGACCACACTCCACCACACTCAATGCACTCAACCGCACTCAAACGCACTCAACCATACTCAACCACACTCGACCACACTCGACTGCCCCAGCAGCTGCAGTTGCACACGTACCAGCTGTCTCTCCTATACGCCTCTTACCATAGGCATTTCTCACGGCGGCTGGCAGCCGCAGTCACCTCTCTTGGCGAGCCTTACGCTTCTAACCTAGTTGTTCTTGGTGTTCCTGGGCTTCGCATTCTGTTCGCCACCCTCTTCACCGGTTTCTAGACTAGTCCTCACACCACGTTTTCGTGTATGACTGTTGCTAGCTCCTGGCGCTCTCGTGCTCCTCTTGCTTGTGCTATGGCGTACATAAGGTTTCTGCAGCAGCAGGGCCAGCCGCAGTGGCAACAGCAGTAGCACTCCCGTCGGTGGGGACGTGATTGTCCTAGCTACTGTACAACCAGCTGGGCACCTCGCCGCGGTGGTCGCAACGTCGGCCTCTGCCAGTACTGGCTTCTGACTGGCCCTTGTGTTGGCACTACCTGCTTGCGCCCTGACATCTCCTCGTTCCGCTACTACTGCTGCCTCGGCGACCTCTACGGTGAGAGTTTTGGGCCTGACTCGCCTCTTCCGCACTGGCCTACACTGACTCGCAATGGTTACGATATCTAATCTATGTCTCTGTATGAAGCTTATAATGTCATGTATGCTGATAAATTCAGTCATGTCTGACCCGTTGATTTGCTTCTGCCTAGCTTAGGACCTCAGCCCACTTCTAGTGTAGGTGCTTGTGTAGCTAGTAGCCCATGTGTACCTGCGGCTGACGCCTTGCTCTCGTTTACACTAGACTCTGACGCGTCTTAGTGCTTCTTCCGTGACCACACCATTATCACACCTCTTTATGCTCCAGTCATAGTTGCCCTCGCTGATCCTACTTCTGGACCAGCAGACGCTCGCAGTTCTACCACCCTCCTATGCCCACATGTCCCCTCTGGTGTCCTCACTGGTTTGTACGTCCCCTCGTTCTCGCGGAACTTGGTGGGTGTTGGAAATCTTCAGGATCGAAGCATCGCCGTCACCTTTCCTGCGGACGAGAGGACTGCGCTCTGTAGAAACACTTCCACCAGGGCGATTCTTGCAGCGTTCGTCAGGGAGCCCCATTGGGATCTTTTTGTTATGCACATTGCGGCCCTCCAGGTAGCAGCGTCTAGTCAGGTAGCTGCATCTGGTCAGGACGCTACGTCTAGCCAGGTCGCTGCGTCTAGTCAGGTCGCTGCGTCTGGTCAGACCCTCCCACCCGACAGTCATGTGGCACCACCACCTTCGTCACCCACCCCTCCCACGCCTTCGTAGCATGTCCAGACAGGGTCTTGTCTCTGGTCTCCCGCGCGTCTTTGCGTCGCTCCCCCCTTCACCCGCGACGTCGTGCACTCCCTGTGTCGAAGGTTGGATGTGCGCCACCCCTCACTCCTCCTCAGTTCGTCCGGCCACCGAGCCCTTCGAGACTCTCCACTTGGACGCCTGTGGCCCTGCCCTTCGCCCTGGGCCCGAGAGGGAGTGCTTCTTTCTAGTGGTCGTTGACGACTACTTCCGCTACACCACCGTGTGCGCCCTGGCGAAGAAGTCCAACATGGATTTCACGCTGATTGGTTCGTTGCTGGCCACTGAGACCACTCGTGGCTGTCGTGTCAGTTGCCTTTACTCCAACCGTGGGGGTGAGTTTTGCTCCAGCATTCTTGTCGGATTCCATAGCGAGTAGGGCATCACCTCCCAAACGCTTCTAGAGTTCCCACAGCAGAATGGGGTTGCTGAGCGCCGCATAGGCTTGGTCATGGAGATCGCCCGTACCTCCACGATCCACACACATGCGCCCCAATTTTTGTGGCCCTACGCGGTTCGCTACGCTGCCCACCAGCTAAACCTCTAGCCCCGTGTCTCGTAGCCAGGGCCTTGACTGACCAGTCTTTGGACTGCATTCCCTAGTGTCGCGTCGGAGTTTCGTGTCTGGGGCTGCCTTGCGCTTGTTCGTGACACCTCTGCGGACAAGCTCTCGGCTCGTGCCCTCCCCTGTGTCTTCCTTGGTTTCCCGATGGACTCCTCTGACTACACCTTTTAACACGCACCCCTCCGCCAGTTCCTCGACTCCCGCGACGTCTGGTTTGACGAGTTTGTGTCTTACTACACCCGATACCCCTGTCGAGGTCTGTCGGTTCCCCCTCCTCCCCTTTTCCTTTCCCCCACTCCTCCTCCTGCTCTTACTCCTCTGGTACACCCGCCCCCCCCTGGTCCTGCCCCGTCAGGTGTGTCCCACGCTACCCCTCTCCCCTCGGTAGCACGTCAGGTACCGTCTCCTTCTCCACAATCGTCTCCACACTCGTCTTCACAGTCACCGCAGTGGCCTTCGGCACTACCGCTACAGATTGCCGTAGACTTTGGAGGTGTTGGTGTTGGAGGCACGGGTGCTGGAGGTGCTAGTTCTGAGGGCACTGGAGCTGGGGGTACTGGCACTGGAGGTGCTACTTCTGGGCGTGTAGGAGCTAAGGGTACTGGCACTAGAAGTGCTAGTTTTGGGGGTGCTGGAGCTGAGGATACTGACACTGGAGGTGCTAGTTTTGGGGGTGCTGGAGCTGGAGGCACATACATTGGAGGTGCGGGAGCTGTCGGTGCTGGCGCTGGGGGTGCCGGTTTTGTAGGTGCTGGGTCTGGGGGTACTGAACTTATCGGCACTGGCACTGGAGGTGCAGGATTTGCGGGAGTTGGAGCTGGAGGCGCTACTTCTGTTGTGCCAAAGCACTATAGTGGCACGGTCATCGCACTCCCATTCAGCCTACAAGCCTGCTCAGCTTTTGGAATTTTGTGGGAAGTTGCTTCAACATGTGTTCTTCAAGACATGGCAACATTTTTAGTTTCAAGACTTACGACAACCCGGAAGCGTGTGTTACTCTTTTTTGGTAACACCCGAGTTCACCATTTCGGCTGCTAACTCATCTACCAAGCTCTGATTGGTCTGAAAATCGGTGTGGCATTCCTTTACCGTGTTCTACAGGTGGTCACCGAGTTTCAGGACAACTCAGCATCGGAGCAGCACGTGACAGCTGTCAAAAGTTACTGTTCCGTAGTCATGGTGCACTGTTGGCAGCATTTCCCCTTTCATTGTTGTCATGCCAATGGTGCAGGGACAGAGAATGAGACAAGAAGTACAGGTGGTCAAGTGGGACTCTACCACCCTCCTTTTGAGAAGTGTGGTCTTTCTGGAAGCAGCTTGCAAGAGGGTGCAAGTGGGAAGACAAGCTGACTCATGGTTGGCTTGACTCACTATTGGTAGCCTTGAGTACAACTCTGAACATCCAAGTGTGGTTGGCTTTGCTGACCTAGCTAGGACGTTTCCCATCCTTCACTAGCCTTTATCCCCTAGGACTCAACCTTCTCTGAGTTCCCAGGATGGTCCTAACCCCTTAAGAGTCCCCTAGGCAATGTTGTACTCACCTCTTCCTTGCATCAATGAAACTACACGTTTTCAGCCGAGCTTACGTTTTCATTCACTGCGCAGCGCATACACCTCTGATGAAAGCAAGCAATATACCGTTGGAACGCAGTCACTTGAAGCTAACTTCTTTCCAAGTTTCAACCTCGTATGTTATTGGAGCTGATCGTGACGGTGTTTTGTACAGAGGCGGTTTGAAGTCATTAGATTCTGCTTAGGTCGTTTCTAGACTATAACAAGTGGTATCAGAGCTGTTCTACTCTGTTCGTGGGTGAATATGGAGGTTGAAGGTTCTGCTCCAGCTGGCCCTAGTGGCAGTGGTGGCGTGAGAGGCGCTGGGGAAGCGGGAAGAGGCGTTGCAGGCGGATCTGCACCAATGGCTTCCGTTTCAACATCAGCTAAGGATGATGTGAAGGCATTCAACTTGGAGAAGTTTTCTGGGAAAGATTGGGCATCATGGAGCTTCATGATGGAGCTCCTCTTCAACCATTATGGGCTGCTTGAAGTGATGGATGGAGAATTTAAGAGGTCTGCGAGCGAAGGAGCGACCAAGGAATGGGATCGCCGGTCCAAGGATAAATTATTCCTTCTCTCCCAATGCCTCTCATCCAACCAGGTGCACCACATCAAGCATCTCATCAAGGAAGTTGCGTGTGTTCCTAAGGCATGGAAGACATTGAAGGATTTCCATGCCCCCAGTAGCGAAGCAATGGTGGTGGTGCTCGAGCGACAACTCCATGCGGTGAAGATCAACGAGGGTGATGCTGTGCAAGGAGCATTTGATCAACTCCGGGACCTCTATGTGAAGCTCTCTGCTGCTGGTGTGGACTACCCTGAGAAAATCAAGTGCTACAAGGCTCTCTCCCTACTGCCGGAGTCATGGGGCCCCTTGGTGGTCAACCTCAATGGTATGAAGGTCTCGTGGTCCCTTGAGTGGATCCGCGCACAAGTTCTTCAAGAGGAGTTTCGGAGGAAGGAGCTGACCGCTGCTGCCGGTGAAGGTGGAGGCTCTGCCTATGGCGTGAAGGGATTCAAGGGGCGTGGCAGCAAGAAAGGGAAGGCCAAGGAAGGCTCTGGATTGGAGCAGCATTCGGGAGGGAAGCGTGGCAACAAGGGAGGCAAGCGGTGTGGCGGCAAGTGTTGGTATTGCCA